AATAGTTACTAACCGTATCATTCATCCGGTTACCTATTTCTAGAACTTCAGCCATTGCTGAACTAGGATCCAGCCTGTCCTTTCAACTCTGCCTCCCCTTCCCTAGATTACTGGTCCCAGAATCACTTGCATGGAGAATCTTCTCACAAGCACACGCTCTCCAGGGACTCATCCACTTCTGATATTTAACCATGGCCTTGACACCGTCACTCCCTGATCTCTGGCTCTAGCCGCAACTTCTACCCACAAGCTTGACTCTCACCACACACTGTCTACTGCACACGCCCACACACAGCTCAGTATGTGCAAAACTAGCCCCTCTCAACCATGTTCCCCCTCCCGTATTCATCTCCATCTACAGCACCCAATCACCACTGGTGTCACCAAGCCACAATGGGGAAATGCCCCCTTTCCACTTCTTCACCTCCCTTACTCACACAGAATGAACAAGGCTGGCCATCTGAACCTCATTAGGGTTTTTTAAATAGAACCCCTTTGTCTCCAGCCCTGCCCCCACTGCCAAATTCAGGTCAGTTTTCTTTCATCCACAGTTACCATCCACTTCAGGTGCTTGCCACCTCTTGCTTGGCACTTGTTTTCTCACTGGTCTCCTGGCTCCCGGACCCTTCCCACTCCAGTTGTTTTACACACCATGGCCTTAAGAATCCTCTTAAAGCATCAGGCTCCCCCATGGAATACAGCCTAATCTTCAAATTCTTTTGCCTGAATCCCTGAGTTCAGAGTGGCTACCAGAGTCCTCTGTGTACTACACAACCAGCGGACCCAGAGAGAGAGATGCGGTGCCACTTGAATGACTTAACAACCATCTTCATGGAAAATACTTGGCTGATGTGGAAAAATTAAGTTTTGCAGATACTAGAGATACTCATACAGATACTGGAGATACTCATATAGACAAGTCTGTGGGCATATTTTGGCAATAAGCTCTTCTGGATTCCCCTGTGCCGCCTCCTAATCATGACTCCACCCAACAGCACCTCCCACCCAGCTCTCTTCTTGAGTTAAGAGCTTCATGGACCACTCTACCTAGAACATCTCACCCTTCTCTGAAGAACTACACCACTTACCTTTCTACTAATTCTCATTTGGCAACCACTTATTCCCAGGGCTCCTTCACTACTATTCAAACTCTGATAATTTCCCTTGGCTGTGTTCATTTTGTTCAATAAGGTCACAAGGGTTCAGAAATCAGGCAGGTCTTAATTACCTTTTAGCATCTTTACGGTCAAGCCTAGCATGTGTCTTGTATATAGAATATGTCTGATACAAGCCAGTCAATGTTGAAAACCAACAGATAAAAGCTAGAACAATCACCCTACAAAGACTATTTGGGTTAAAAATAGAGGTCCTCCTACCATTGATTAGTCAAATTCTTGCCATTCTGGAAGTGAGAGGAAATCTGTCTGAGAAAGGAGAAGACAGTCGTGAAAGAAAACCTTTCAGTAATATTGGTCTTATAAATGGATTCAAGCAACTTACATGTGGTTTAGATATAACCAAAAGGCCTCAACATTGAAACATGTTTTCTCTGTGGTTTAAGTCACACATTTTCAACAGAGTAATACTGTCCACATGGGGTAAAACAGGTTCTTGGGAAGAAAAAAAAAAAAATGTATGTGTAGAGCAGATATACATACAATACATATACACTATCTTGTGTGGAATTAAGATGCCACTGGGAGGGGAGGGAGATGAAAAGATGTCTCAAGAGGTTCTTGGGGAGGGAGGGTGCATAATGAAAGTTGAGAAATGCAGTTTTAAACCAAATAGACTGCTCAATCTGTTAAAGCTCTATAGCTCCTTATCAGCATTCCAAGATCATATAAATGCACATCAACAAAACCTAGAAGATAATTCAAATGAAAGTTATTTTTGTGTTTTTGTGTTCTCAAAAAAATTTTTATATTGTGGTTGTTAAGGGATTAAATGTTTATATTCCCCCCCTGCTAAAGGGAGGGTATCATTGGACAAACAATAAAGTAAAGCATTTCCCATCCAAAATGACTTAGAAATTTAAAAATTAAAAAGGTTTTGTTTTAAAAGAGGAAATGGCTTTTTAAAATATATTATAAAAGATGTGTGAGAAAGTAGCTAAGACTGAATTAAGATTGAATAGTTATTTATATCTGTTTCCTGTTTAGCCTTTTGACAAAGTTCAGTCCTGTATTTTATAGTCAGCTTTGGATAAGATTTCCCAGAATAACCCTGATGTGGGGTCTGCTGGTAGGGAGGACCCCAGAACTACATCCTGCAATTCACACCCTGTGAACACCATCTGCTAAACTCAACAACTTCAAACCAGAAAACAAAACGTCACTGTCCCATTTCCTCTGCCAAACCCTATTTTGAAACTCCCAAACACAAAGAGGAGGAAAGAAAGAAAAAAAAAGAGAAAAAGAAAAAAAAAAAAAGTCAAGAAAACCCAACACTGAATGTGTTTAGAAACAGAGAGCATTAGTCTTTTCCTATTTTTTTTTAAACTAAACCATAAGTTCCTTTGCACAATCAGAAAAATGGACTAAGTGAGATGATGAGAGAAATAACCCATCTGTACAATTTTGGTGTGGAGAGAATGCCTTTATATTGCTAGTATCAATACATGACTTAAGGGGCTCATGTTGTCAGGTTGGGCAACTACGAAAACGAAGAGCTCAAATCAGAGGCAAACATAAATCAAGTCAAATGAAACAAAAGAAAAACCTAACAGCAGCTGGGGCTGCTGTGAATGGAGCAATGACAGTTAATAATGTGACAGAGAAAAGAAAAGATGACGGGGCTTACAGGGTGGAGGCAAGGTTCCTGGCTTCGGAAGTGAGCCCATGAAACACTGCGGCAAACTTGTCAAAAGGATGGGGATGGAGAGCTGGTGGTGAGGCGCAAGTTTTACTCTATGGCTATGCCATCAAAAATGCAGGGTCTCGGGGAGCCCTAGAGGAAGACCATTTCTGGTCCATCTCTGTACTGCCAATTCCAACAGCCTGAAATTTTTTACTCCTTATCTTACTGGACGCTCTTCTGCATTTCCACACTGAAGCGACTCCCTGCTTCTTAAAACAAATCTCCATTTCTTCCGAGCCATTATGTACAATCTCTTAATTCCCTGGCCACTCCTTTCCAATCTTTTTCATGATCCCCGATTATTACTGGTCCAAAAGTCTCAGAATTCGGAGTCTCTGCTCATCTAAACACTCCCTCCAGCAAACTCACCCACTTCCTACATTTAACCATGACCTTGTAAGTTCCTCCAGTCTCTTGCTCTAGCCTTGACCTCTCCTCCGAACCTCAGGTTCTCATTGCACACTATTCACTACATACATCTATGCTGACATCTCCTAGATACTTCAAAAACTTGACATGCCCAGGACCAACCTTCCCCAAACACATCCCTCCTTGCGTTTTCTGCATTTAAGTTCGTAGCACCTCAACAACCACCATCCGTCATCAAGCCAGAATCAGGGAATCCTGCTTAACATTCTCATTTTCACACACTTTACATCATTTTCACCTCTTAAATATTTCTTGACTCCATGTTCCCTTGATCCCTACCTAGCAATGTCCTACAAAATCCCCCCTGCTGTGTGCCTTTGCTTAGGATGGTCCTCTCAGGAGTGAGCTTTCCAGTGGCTTTCACCTGGCTGCCCGAACACATACCTATTCCATCAGCAGCCTCCCCCAGAAGCCAAGCCTTTAACCTCAGGCCTCAGTGCCCAGCTCCCTCTCTCCCAGCATCCCACCCGGAACCCATCCCTCCAGCTCAGCATTTCTTACATTCTCTTGATACTATGTGTCTTTGCTCCCAGAAACCACCTCCTCCAACCCAGATTCTCCACAGGTCCAATATGCAGGTGTACTAAAAAACCTGTTCAAACTCTTAACAACCGCAGTGCAATGAAACTAGAGAGTTTACGGATTAAGACTGTCTTGAAAGAAAACCCCCGGTACCTCTGCTTTTCAGCACTTTGCAGTTTGCCAGTCTACTCATTTCAACATTTCCTAATAAACATGGATACCTCCTCTCCCAGAAGGTTTACTTGCTCATTTGAAAATCCTACAGATGACCTCCTACCCCTGGTCATCAACAGCTTCCCACTACCGGGGTCCAAGCAACATCCATTGGTAACAAGAACTGTCAGAGCGCATGCCCAGCTGACCTAGGACCCTCCGCACCACGGACCTGCTTGCCAGGGCTGCACGAGTCACGAAAACAAACGGGCTCTGGTCAAAGCCTCCACTGTCGCACTGATGGAGCCCAGAGATCATCTAGATCTTTGTTTGTCTCTTCACAGCCCAGCAAGAAAACGCAGTCCAAAGAAATGGTCCTGGTTCCACATAGTTTGCTAGTCCCCAAGTCCGGGTAAAAATCTTCCCTCCTTCATACTCAGTCCAGATTCTAACTGTGTAATTATTTAATTCTCAGGACATTCTGAATTATTAAAACTGTTAAGAATGTCTTAACTAGGGCTCTCCCAGGTCAAGAAAAACCAGCCAAGCTATAACTAGTTTTTCTTAGAGTGTATAGGCAATGTGAGAAACAATGCATAGTTTTAAAAATAATTTAAGATTTTTCATTTTGAAGTGTTTCCATCCTGAGACAAAATATGAACCCTAATTACAGGGAAGAGATGTTGGGAACACAGAGTAAGAGGAAGTAGAAGTACTCAAGAAACCTTGGGAACAGAGTCTAACTGCCAGAACACTTCCAATCTCCCCTTTTAAAGGGGAAACACACGCGTGCATGCGTGCACACACACACACACACACACACACACGAATGTTTATGTCCTGAACAATCTCACACTCATGTTTTGGATGTATAGACATTAAGATTACTGATCCTGCTTCAAGAAAGATAGTTAAATGTTTCATATCAAAAACACTAAAACATTTAGAAAGCATCGAAGGCTACCAATTCTGCCTTTCAATCAACTCCTATAATTACTTTCATTTCTTACACTTTCTTAAGGTCAAATTCCTGCTACATCTTTTCTATCAATTTTTACCAAGTACTCACTGGCCCTGCTGAGTTTGAGAAGGGAAAGACATACAGACAGAAGTAAGGGTGAGGCAGAGGGGAGACAGAAGCTATTTTGCATGGATAGACAGAAGCTATTTTGCATGGATAGAAGTATTTTGCGTGGATAGGATCTCCTAATCCCCAAAACACTCCTGTGGAGGTAGGTGTGCTATTCTTGCCATTTTATGAATAAGGAAACAGACACAGATTAAATAACATGCTTCCTTGAATGCTACATGGCTGACTCCTGCATCTTCACATTTCTTATTAACAGAGAATTTCTTTCATGACTCCCATGCCTTATGTACTCTTTTTCTCACTGCCTTATAATTATCATAGCTTTTATCGCCAAATGATATTCTTTGCATTTACTCATTTGCTAACTGTGGGTTTCCCCCAACTAGAATGTAAGCTGCCTGAAGCCAGGGACTTTGTGTGACTCATTACAACAGTGTCTGGTGGGACACATGGTGGCTCAATCCTTTAAGCATCTGACTCTTGGTTTTGGCTCAGGTCACGATTTCAGGGTTGTGGGACTAAGCCCCACATCAGGCTTCATGCTCAGAGGGGAGCTTGTTTGAGATTCATTCTCTCTCTCTCTGCCCCTACCCCTCTTACACTAACACTCTAAAAAATAAATCTTAAAGCAAAAAAAAAAAAAAGTCTGGCACATACTGCATGCTTTATAAATGCTGACCTCCTCAAAGGAAATGAATTTGCCTTGCTCATCTCTGACTACATAGTTCCTGGTACTCGTTGGGTACACATTCAACTTAATGAGTGTTCAAAGGAAGCAAGTCATGGGAATGGATGAATTCCTATCCCAAGCTAGAAATAAGGAAAAAGGGCCAAGCACGGAACACTGAGGAACTGGTTATACTTAAAGAATGAGTAATAGAAAAGAAACCATCTCCAAAAAAGCAGTCCAAGAATTAAGAAAACAAAAAGTTGTATTATGGAACCCAGAGGAAAAAGTGTCAAAAGTTGGCAGAAGAGGTGGGGACTGAAAACAAGTGACTGTATGTAAGAGTTGAACTGGAATGGTAAAGCTATGGTCCAGTTGCACTTGGCTGAAAGAGAAACTGGAGTAGAACTCGCAATAGACCACTCATTTAGGAAGTCTTGTCAATAAAAGGGAGAGTGACTAAGGCTACCGCAGAGAAACCAAGTAGGGTATATGTTACACTAGGAGACTAGAGTCATTGGAGAAGCAAAGACTCAAGAACATGTACTAGGAAGTAAAGATAACAGAAAAAAAAAAATTCGAGAACCAGAAGAGCACAGTTAGCCAATCAACCTTGGAAGGGAATAATGAAGAGGAGAGATAAGCAATACACAGACACTTTTGAGGAGAGAAAGCATGGAAGAGTTTCTGGCTCTAGGTTGTCAGTGAAAGAGTAAGGCCACTTCCCGAGCCTATAAAGGAGGAAGGCCTGTGGTTGAAGTTCACAGATAAGAAAAGATCTTTATCAGTTGTTGGGGTCAAGTAGAAGAGCCCTCGCTGTCTAAGGGGTAAAGAGGATTGCTAAGGAGCCACAGAGGGCTCTGAAGGGCTTGTAAATCAATGTGTACCAAAGCCAGTCCCAGGGGCTGGAGTGGAGTCCGGCACTCTGCCAAGAGGAACCGATCTGGAATACAGGACTGGGGACTGGATCTCTAGGGAATACATTCAATGATGGCCATAAGGATCCAAACTCATCAGGGTAGAAAAGGTGTGTGGACAGGGGTGATAACATTGCACAAGAGCCCAGGTATTTGAAATCATCAAAAGGAAGAGGAACAAGTTGGATTACACTAAGAGAAGTAAATCCTGATTTTGTCAGCTTTCAAGGGAAAGATCAAAGTCTAATGACTTCTGAGCAGGAGGCATGAAGGTCACTAAACAGAAAAGGGCCTGCAACCCTGGGGGTCTTGAGGAGAGAAACACAGTGTCAAGCGGGCAAATGTAGGGACATGAGTAGTAGAGAAGAGCCCAAAGAGACTGCAGATGAATTGCTTGCTAGGGTGACAGAGGGACCACTGGAGATAAGGTAGAGTTCAGAGGTACTGGGGAGAGCACCATGTTGGCTGTGGAGTGGACTTGAAGTTCCTCCCTTTTTGGCATCTGCTCCCAGAACAAACTGGCTGTGGAGAACTCTAGAATTACAAATGGGCCCACAAAAGGTCACTAGGGCCACTATTTTAGTCCAGCTAAAACCGTTCACTCTGAAATTATACAACACAAGGTCTACCTCCCAACAGTGATGAAATTAGTTTTACTCTACTTAGTAATCTAACTTCAAACATATTCAATCAAATGCTATATTAAACCACTTTTTCCCCCCAAATTAAGCACAGCTTGCAAAAGTTAAAGAAAACCTAACATTGCCAATTTGTACAGAGGCCTAAGGAAGTGATTCACTTAAAACCCCCTCCCAATTTAGGCAAGAAGAGAAAAGCAAACAATGATGTAGGATTTAATTAGTGTCTCATACTTTTTATGATAAAACACATACATCAAAAGTTCTAAGGTAGCCAAAAATACTCAAGCATGTTCTGAACTGAAGCAAAGAAGATAAACATCTATAGGTTTCTGAAAGACATCTAAGTATTTTGATTTAATTATCTCATCTTCCTTAAGGATGGTTTTATATATATATATATATATATATATATATATATATATAAACTAAGGAAAGCCAGACTTTTTAAAAACAAACGAATACTAACGCTAGCACCGAAAAGTCTGATGTGATATTTTCCCTATAGCTCTCAGGGGTGGCAAACCAGAACCGCGACCTCTGATCAACTTTACTGTCAGAATTCCTATGGAATCCTATCTGCACCCTTACTTAGGAGCTTTTCCTTTTCCTACCTTAGTCCTACTGATTCAGAGTCTGCAGGGACAGGACTCCAACAAGTAGATCTTTATCTTAAGTTCCTCCAAGTTTACCATACTTTTCTATTTAAGAACACCTGTAGCATAAGGTAAACCCAGACTCTTCCCAGTTATGAATGCAATCAATTTTAAAGCAATGGTTCTCTACCTTGTCTGCACATTGGAATCACAGGGGAGATTTAAAAAACCCCAATGCCTAACCCACACAGCAGACCTATTACAACGGAATTCTCTGAGGATAAATCTAGCCACCAACCTTTTTTTTTTTTTGCCACCAGCCTTTTTTGAAACTACTACCCATCCAATTCCAATAGCCAGTCAATGTTGATAACTGCCAAGGCAGAGGGTAACTTGTATACAGGTTTTATTTAAGTGCATGCTAAAGCCTGAAAATTTTATGTACACAAGGGATCGGTCCATGCAACTATTGAATGAAAAAACGAAAACCAGTAACTTATAATTCTCTGAATTTCTCTGTATTTGAACAAAGCAAATGTTATTCCACATTATCAAAATGCAGGACACAGTGCTGAAGCTATAGCCCTTAGAATAACCAGAGCCACTCTCTGAACTGTCAGGAAGAGCTCAGAAACAAAACCAAGCGGGTGACAATGCATTTGGAAACTCTAGGATGCTCTGAATGGTCAGTGAAAGGGTTTCAACACACGAAGCAGAAGATTCACTGATGTAGCAGTTAAAGGCATCTTTACAGAAGAGACTGTCTCAGTAGGTCAGTTTGGGCAAAAAACAGAAACAACCCCCCTATCATCCTCCCCCCAAAAAATCCAAAGAGACACTTCATTTCTTCAAATCCTTTCAGTTGCAAAAGAGTATCAGGGAAGTTCTAAAGTCCAGGTTTCTAGATGCTTGTGCTGTTCCTTAAAGGAAATATGTTTGCTGCCTAGAAGCCCCACCTATATTTTTAATACATGAACCTACTTCAGTTTCAGTAAGTCTTCAGTAAAGATAAATCCATGTAACTAAGGACAAGCCCTCAGCAGCTTAGTCACCAC